AAATATGCAAGAGGGGACTGGCTGTATGTGACTAAATAAGGTGCTCTTGAATGATTAAAAATGTGATGTTGCATTAATTTTTCTTTTTTTACTTCTGAACTCGACCATTCTGAAACTGTTTTGGCTACAACAGAAAGGATTATAATAAAAATGTGTTATAATAAAATTGCAGTACTTCCAATCTTGTCAATTATAATAAAAAGTTATTGCATTCAATTAGGTGATGATTCAGTCATACATATCAACATGTCTATGAATTTCATTTTAAGATTTTACTATACTTAAGAAAGAATAATTATTTTAATAGAACAGCTTGAATAGAAAATTAACTAGAAGAGTATGTCCATTTTCAGATTAGATGTTGTATTATACATTCTGGCATACATATTTAACAACATGTTCTTAATGTATTAATCCAAATTTTTTTTATTTTCTTCCATTTAAATTTTAAGAGAAAGAAGCAAAGTATATAAAACCTTTCTATAGAGGAAATGCAACAAAATAAAATCTTCTCACTTATTAATTGAGTTTAGATTCTGCTTTATCATGTATACCAAATACGCATCTCTGCACTGCAGTATACGTATATACCAAACCTATCTCTGCACTGCAGTATATGTTTGCATTCATATGGTGATATCTGTATTGAAAATGTATGTTCAGATCAGTGACCCAAACGTATTTCAGAGTATTTAAACATCCAAGACAGATTCAGGTAAGTTCACTTATGATGCTTTTATTAAAGATCTCTAGAATATTTGTAAACAGGCATACCTTCAAGATGTTGGGGGTTGGGTTCCAGACCACTGCAATAAAGCAAATATTACAATAAAGTGAATAACATATGTTTTGTGTTTCCCATTGCATGTAAAAGTTATGTTTATACTATATGGCAGTCAACTAAGTTTGTAATAGCATTATGTCTAAAAAATAATGTACATGCTTTAATTGAAAAACACTTTATTGCTAAAAAATAAATGATAATCATCTGAGCCCTTGGTGAGTCATAATCTTGCTGGTAGACGGTCTTGCCTCAGCATTGACTGGTTGCTGTCTGATCCTGGTGGTGGTTGCTGAAGGGTGGGATGGCTGTGGCATTTTTTTAAAGGATTAAATTTGCTTCATTGATTGACTCATCCTTTCATGAAAGAGTTTTTGGCCAGGCGTGGTGGCGCATGCCTGTAATCCTAGCACTTTGGGAGGCCCAGGCAGGTGGATTGCCTGAGCTCAGGAGTTCGAGACCAGCCTGGGCAGCACAGTGAAACTCTGTCTCTACTAAAATACAAAAAAAAAAAAAAAAAATTAGCCAGGTGTGACGGCATGCCCCTGTAACCTCAGCTACTTGGGAGGCTGAGGCAGGAGAATTGCTTGAACCCAGGAGCTGGAGGTTGCAGTGAGCCAAGACCACGCCACTGCACTCCAGCCTGGGTGACAGAGGGAGACTCTGTCTCCAAAAGAAGAAAAAAAGAAAAAAAAAAAGATTTTTCTGTTGTATGAAATGCTATTTGATAGCATTTTACCCACAGTAGAACTTCTTTCAAGAGTTGAGTAAATCCTCTCAAACCCTGATGCTGCTTTATCAACTAAGTTAATAGAATATTCTAAATTCTTTGATGTCATTTCAACATTGTACATAACATCTTTCCCAAGAGTAGATTCCATCTTAAGAAGCTACTTCCTTTGCTCATCCACAAGAAGCAACTCCTCATTCATTCAAGTGTTATTTTGAGATTGCAGCAATTCAGTTCCATCTTCAGGTCTACTTCTAATTCTAGTTCTCTTTCTGTTTCCACTACATCTGCAGTTACTTCCTCCATTGAAGTCTCCAACCCCTTCAGGTCATCCACAAGGCTTGGAATCAACTTTCAAACTCATGTTAATGTTGATATTTTGACCTTCTCCTATGAATCCTGAATGGTTTTGGTGGCATCTGGAATGGTGAATCCTTTCCAGAAGGTTTTTAGTTGTATTTGCCCAGATCCATCAGAGGAATCACTGTCTATGGCAGCTATAGCCTTATGAAATGTATTTCTTTTCTCTTTTTCTTTTTCTTTCTTTCTTTTTTTTTTTTTTTTTTTTTTTTTTTTTGAGATGGAGTCTCGCTCTGTCGTCCAGGCTGGAGTGCAGTGGCGCGATCTTGGTTCACTGCAAGCTCCGCCTCCCGGGTTCACACCATTCTACTGCCTCAGCCTCCCGAGTAGCTGGGACTACAGACGTCCGCCACCACGCCCAGCTATAATTTTTCATATTTTTTAATAGAGACGGGGTTTCACCTTGTTAGCCAGGATGGTCTCGATTTACTGACCTCGTGATCCACCCGCCTTGGCCTCCCAAAGTGCTAGGATTACAGAAATGTATTTCTTAAGTAAGACTTGAAAGTTGAAATAATTCCTTGACTGCAGAATACATGTTGTGTTAGTAGGCATGGAAACAACATTAATCTTTTTGTATATCTCTATCAGAGCTCTTCCACGACCAGGTGCATTTTCACTGAGCAGTAATATTTTGAAAGGAACCTTTTCTTCTGAGCAGTAGGTCTCAACAGTGGGCTTAAGCTATTCAGTAAAACATTCTGTAAAGAGATGTGATGTCACTCAGACCTTGTTATTCCATTTATAGAGCTCAGGCTGAATTGATTTCACGTAATTCTTAAGGGCCCTCAGTTTTTCAGAATAGTCAATGAGCATTGGCTTCACCTTAAAGTCACCAGCTGCATTAGCCTCAAACAAGAGACTCAGAGTGTCCTTTGAAGCTTTGAAGCCAGTTATTGACTTCTCTCTAGCTATAAAAGTTCTAGATGGCATCTTCTTCCAATAGAAGGTTTTTAAAATCTACATTGAAAATCTGTTGTTTAGTGAACCACCTTCATCAATGATAGTAGCTAGATCTTCTGGCTAACTTGCTGCAGCTTCTGCATTAGCCCTTAACTGCTTCACCTTCCACTTTTATGTTATAGAGACGGCATCTTTCCTTAAACCTCATGAGCCAACCTCTGCTAGCTTTCAACTTTTCTTCTGCAGCTTTCTCACTTCTCCCAGTCTTCATAGAATTAAAGAGAGCTGGGGCCTTGCTCTGGATTAGGCTTTGGCTTAAGGGGATGTTGTGGCTGGTTTGATCTTCTATCTAGACCACGAAAACTTTCTCCCTATCAGCAATAAGGCTGTTTTGCTTCGTTATCATATATCTGTTCACTGGAGTAGCACTTTTCATTTCCTTCAGGAATTTTTTTTCTGTGCATTTACATCTTGGATAACTGTTTGGAGCAAGAAGCCTGGCTTTCAGCCTATCTTGGCTTTCAACATGCCTCCCTCACTAAGCTTAACTGATTTCAGGTTTTGATTTAAAGTAAGAGATGTGCAACTCGTCTTTCCACTGGAAGGCCTACAGGCCATTGTAGGGTTATTAAATTGGCCTAATTTTAATACTGTGTCTCAGGGAATGGGGAGGCCCGAGGAGAGGGAGAAAGTCGGGGAACGATTGGTGGAGCAGTCAGAACACACACAGCATTTATTAAATTCATTTTACAATAACAACATAAAAGGTCACTGATGACAAATCACCATAACACATATAATAATATTCAAAAAGTTTGAAATATTGCAACAATTACCAAAATGTGACACAGACACATGAATTGAGTAGCACCTATAGCCTTAATGCAGAATTGCCACAAACTTTCAATTTGTAAAAAACACAATGTCTGTGATGCACAATGAAGCAAAGTACAATAAAATGAGATATCATATATATATTTGTTTAAAAATAGTTTGTTTTTGTTTTTGCTATGTCGTAAAAATGTAAACTGTATCAGTAGAAGAGGAGTTGGGAACTTTCTGTGAAGAGCCAGATATATATTACAGACTTTGTGTCCCCATCATAAGTACTCATTTCTACCTTTGAGCACAAAAGCAGCCATACCCAATGAGTCAATGAATAGGTGTGGCACGAGTTCAACTGAACTTAATTAACAAAAAATAGGCAGCAGTCTGGATTGGTCCTTTATCGTTATCCATCTCTATAACTCAAATTCAATTTTTACAAATTGTGTACATATATATGTATATACTATATATATGTATATACTCTATATATATATTGAGTGTGTGTATGTGTGTGTGTGTGTGTATATATATATAAGCAAACCCTATCAAGGGATAATTAAGATGTTTCTAATTTTTACTATTATAAACAATGCTACAGTAAATATCCTTTTAACTTGTTGATTATTTCTTTATAATAAATTTCTAGAATTTGTGGTTTTAAGTCAAAGTGTGCCTACTTAAATATTTGAATCATTACATAGTTGCTCACCAGAAGAGGTGGGCCAATTTATACTAATGTGTCCTGGGTATAAGAGTGCTTGTTTCCCCATATCCTCTCCAATATTTGATACTATTTATCGTTTAATTCTTTCTCAATCTGCCTGGGGAAGCACTGATCACTCATAGTTGTTTTTTTATTATTATTATTCATTGATTTTTAACAATCTGGAACATCTTTCCATTTGTTTATTGGTCATTTATTTGTGAGTTCTCTGTATATGTAATTTGCCCATTGTTATACTGGGTTGTTAATATTTTTCTTGTTGATTAATAAGGACAGTTCATATAACAAGGAAATTAACATTTTGAGTCTTATGTGTGCTACAAAAAGAATTCACCAGTTTGCTGTTTGCTTGTTCTTGACTTTTGTATGTTTTCACATGGAGAAGCTTTTGCTTTTTAAAAGTAGTTTATTGTAAATCTTTTCTGTTACTGCTTCTGAATTTAGAGTTATGCTCGTAAAGACATTTACCGCCCTGAGACATAAAAATGTTCTCCCATATTTACTTGTGGTTCTTATAGCACTTACTTTTTACAAGTTGAATCTATATTTTAGAAAAGTTTTTTGAATTTTGCATTTATTAGTACAAACTTACACGCCCCATTTTTCTCTAGTTTTAATCCCCATAATGTGGAGTTTAACTTATGCATTTGTTTTTTCTCTTTTTTCTTTACCAGTTTCTTCAATGATTGTACCAGACAGAAGCTGCTTGCCCTAAAACACGGGCTGAGGGTTTACCGGATGGTTTTCTTATGGGTGCTGTAGACAGATCCATGGTTGCAGGTAGACTTTTTATCAAACCTGCTGGATAGAAGTGGGGCAGTGGTACTTTAGTGGATAGGAGTAAATTCTCATCTGGCTCAACCCATTGATAGGATCCCTCTATAATTATCTGTGGTGGAAGAGACCATATTTAGCATGTGGCTCTAGGCATTGTTTGAGCTACCTCATTGAGAAATTTGGAGACAGGTAGATTCCATGTAGTCTTAGGTTATCACATTGATTCCAGAAACCAATAACCATAATTTACAAGTGTTAACATCAGAAATATTTTTGGTTATAAGAAATTTAAACACACAAGGTTATCCCATTCTGCAAGTTTCACTTATTATGTCGTCTATTGTAGTATGTATTTATATTTTTTGTATTTTTAATCAAGTATCTATAAAATATGAATTGTTCTAAATCAGAAATCTAAATCATTAAAGCAACTAGCTAAAGAAAATGCCATATGTAAGATCTAGATAGATAAGATACATAGATTCATCCTAAATGAATTCTGTCCCCTTTTGTCTTCCTTTTTCAATAGAGAAATCAATGGGAAAAAACAAAGGAATTTTTTTAAAAAAGGAATGGAAATTGAATGTGCTTTCAAATTCCTGCTGTTGGACCATATTTTTAAAACAAGATTCTCTATAATCTTGTTAGACATTAAACCACCAAAGAAGATTGACTTCAAAGTTTATTTTCTGTTCCCAGATAATGAAGCCATTTTTTTCCAAAGAAAAAAAAAAAATAATGAAAGTAAGAGACACTCCCCTTTGCATGATTCTGCAGAAGCTGAATTTGTTACTAACTGCAACCTCTAGGTACTTTGCAGCTAACTAAGCCAAGAATGTGTGCACAGTCAGTTCAGTGGCTTGACCCTGAAAAACAAAGTTCTTCAGTTAGATCCTAATGAGAAGAAAATCCATAGAGAGAGAAAAAAAGAAAGAAGATCATAAAGAGACATGACTGCACTTTCAATCAATTAGGAGAAAAACCTGATATTTTGTGTCACCCTTGGTATAAAATATGATTATATCTGCTGCTTCAGACAAGCTAGCAATTCTCATCCCTGACTGGTACCTAAATGCAAATTAAAGCTGCCTTCCTTGGAAGGTATTAATACTGGCACTTGTTCTCTAAATTCTTTCTCTTTCAGCCTCAAAGTTCAATTCAAACACCACTTATGTTTTCTTTCTATAACCAATCTTTCTGCTTTCACTCATGCTATCAATGATAGCTTCTTGTCAGTTTGGGGACTGCATTAAACCTATTCTTTGATTATACTCAAAGGGAAATCAAACTATACTGAATAATGAATAGAAAGTGTAAAAAAGTTTATATAAAAATTGGCTCTTCTAAGGAGTTAAACTGGGTCTCCTTAAATCATACTTGACAAACTTAAGAAATTAGTTTTTCTGAAAAATTATATTGGTCATCATCCTGATGTTTAGTGAAAGATAGACATGTACTGTGTCTGATTAAACACAAACTCTTGGGCTCTCAGCTGGGCTTGTAGCATAAAAGAGAATTGAACAATAGCTTATGAATTCATTAGAAATGACAGCAATGTTTCTATCAAACATCTCATCTGTTGTATTGATGAGTCACACAGTAGAATGAAAACTTTCCCCACTTTGTATACAAAACCTAGGAAGGCATCATACGGCAGCAATTCATAACATGTACACACTCATCATCTGTTTTGTAAACCATTAGGTTTGGCCCTGAATACACTGTTGGACAGATGCTTTCAGTTCTTAGGTTTTAAACAACAGTTTTCACTTGCTAAAATTCTCACTTCATTATTATGAGCATAAAACGAAGTGGTAGCAGCTGGTTCAGGTAAGCTAGCAATTCTCATCTACACTTAAGAGCAAATCCTAAATTACAAACCATTTTCTTAGAAAAGTAGAATACTTACATTGGTGCTTTGAAGTCCTTTTCTCGTTTCAATTTCAAAATATTGCTCAAATGACATTCTTAAATTTCCAAACTATCCAACCACAGAAATACCTGAAATCAAACAATGTACAAATTATTTATTTGGCTACCGTCTTGTACAGAATCCAAAACTTAGAATGTCCAGAAACATCTATTTAACAACGATGATTTATCTGAAATTAAGGGCAAAGCCAGGAAAACCAAGAGCCTAACACCTGAGGAAAGGGGCACACAGTACCAGGAATGGACTACAAATCCATCCTGGAATCTGGTGTCCTGAGGAGTCCAGGGAAGACAAGACCAAAGGGTGTCCTCTCATGTACTGCCTTCCCTTAAAGCCAGATCACTGTAGAAAATGTGGCTCAGGAAGACAAGAGAAGCATGCACTTTAAAAAAACAATTAACAGGATATTAGAATTGGCCTTAGAGATAGCTGATCATAGTCCACTCAAACTAAAAAGTAAGACAAAAATTATCTAAAAAGTATGCTAAAAAGATAGGTTCTAATTGAGGGATTTATAATTGGAATTTTAAATATGATGAATGTTGGGGCCTGATACTGGTAGGCTTTTCAGTTAGACAAGACTCATATTTTCTTCATTTTTAGTTTCTTTCCTGACAGACTTTCTCTTTTTATACTGTAGAACAAAATAGAAACAAGACTTATGCTTCATAGAGTGTGTAAGTAATATCATCTGCTAACATGTTGGTATTTACTGCATTTCTGATAGTGAAAACATTTGCTTTACCCCTGAGAAGAATTCATGGGGTCATGAAATAATGTGGAAGTCAGCATATTCATGCCACCCTCTCCCTCAACCCTTACATCTTCATGAATGCTACATTTTCCTTATTCGATTAAAACATTTTGTTGATTTGTATGGTTGTTTTTTCTTTCTGCCTATATATTTGGTGAAGGACTTAAGGGCATGACAGTAGGTAAATTAAACACAAAAGCAATGGCAACCTTAAGTCTTCAATTTCTGAAAAATTACAACTAAAGTTGAAGTTCATTTTAACCCTATCTCCCTATATCATGCTTTCAAATATAAGAAAAATGTTAATTGTTCTCACAGGTATATATGCTTTAGATTTTCCCAGTGTTAGCAATGTACCTCTCCCAGTTTAATTACTAATTCGAATTGTATACATTCGTTTTTGAATCTCTAATTGTTCTTTATCATACCTGTGTAGTTTCCTCAGGTCTAGTTATTTGCAGAATACAGAAAGAAAATAGTAGAATATAGTGGTCTATTGATCCTAATAGGAGCATATCCAGGTTCCAAGCCATTTAAGGAATTAGAGAGAAAAACACATGTTATGCATGAAATATATTCAGATGCAAAAAATTTATTGCAACAGCGTATGTTTTTATTTTCTCCATAGATTATTTGCTTCTGGTCTTGGAGTAACTTGCTGAATATATTTCTGTAGTGAAGGCCATTTGTGATGTGCAGGGCAGTGAGTCTATAGGTTCTGTCTCTATGTGTTCATCTATATTTATCAATGAGAAATGGTCACATAAACAGAACTATGTGCACGTTGTTACAATCTAATGTTCATAGTAATTCTTTCTTTTTCCTTGTACAGACAGTTTGTCTTCTAGGCCATTGCATTAAGATTTTTCAGTAATGGGCCTTTCAATCAGACATTGTAGGTATTCATGTTATATGAATATTGAAATTTATAAAAATACAAGGTATAGCCTATTCTATAGTAAAATCTCTAGTTTGAAAGTCATTTAAAATTAATTTTAAAGTTTTAATCAATTTACATATAAAAGTATACCATTAAAAGCATATTAATAGTCATTGATCATTTTTCAGCAAATCAATGACAGTAGTGCTACTTAATAAGTTTCATTTCAACACCTGTGGGATATTTTTAATCAATATATATCAATACTGATTCCAAATTTGCATCACTAGTGGTAGCTCCCACTCTTGAATTTGTGGTTTCATGAAAGAGAATGCACTTTCACAGAGCCAAATAAAATCAAATAAAAGTTTTATTTTTGCTATGTAGCCAGAAATTAAAGGACAATTCTGAGACATATATATATTCATTACCAGCTTTCAGGGAAATTGTATTCTTTTGGTAATTCTCTATCAGCTAATAAGTTCCATATCAAAGTTAGCAGCTGCTTTATATTTCAAACTCATTAGGAAGTTTTTCTTTATGTACCTCCGTGGAGAAACTGAAATAATGATAAATATTTATTGATCTATAAATCACTTTTAAAATTGTAATTTCCATTGACTTCATGGAAGTTGAGCTATAGGAATGATTTTTCTTTCCTGATAGGAGGGGAGAGAATTCCTACAGAGCTTCGGGCGAGATTCAGGGGTCATTGTGTCTGCTATCTGTATTAGAGATTCTTGTCCATGAGAAAATGGGCAAGCTGTGACCTGGAATTGAGGTTCAAGTCAAAGCCAAACGGACTCATTTAGAACAGGTTGTAAATCTGGATGAATGAAAGAAGCCATGAGAAGAAAGACAGTCTGAGAAAGGCAGAAAGAGCAAGAGCAGCCCAGTGGTGAAATACGTGTGAATTCCAGGCACAGGGTGCTAATATTTGTGAAGGGCTCGTAGAAGATTTCTACATACATTTGTGTTTACCAGTCAAGTTCATTAAGAAGTCAAGATTCCACTTGCACTTTGCTGAATCTACTTATGCAAGTTGAGTTTCTTCTAAATATCCCATATATTGGCAGAGCTTGATGGCACAAGCATAAAGAGATAGGCGGTCTAAGCTACTATTGTGGTCACATTGTCTAAGAAACTTTGACACTTATATGCTTTTCCACAATACAAGGTCACTGGGAACACTAACTCCCAATTCTGAATTGAATATTTTGTTAAGACTTGTCTTTCCTTCCATTTTAGCTGCCTTATCTAAGTCAACTCAGTACTTTCAAGCGTAGATTTAATTTCTCAATTTCTTTGCTAGCAGAGTTAGATAAGGCCTCTGGTTTTTTGCATGTAAACTAAAGTAGCCTAATATTTTTAGTTTGCTTAATTAGGTTTGGTTTTAGTTTTGGTATCTTGCAAATCCTTTGGTCTCAGGTAGATTTTATTTGGCACCTGAACTAAATGTGGATCTTCTTTAGAGTCAGATAGAAGTGTAGTTCTTAAAAAGCCGTTTAAAATGGTCTTAACTAGTTAAGGCTACTAGAAGAAAGGTTTTCAAGTAGTATCCGGCCCTAAAAAGTTTTCAAGTAGTTATCAAATTTCAGTGGACCCTTGAACAATGTAGTGGTGAGGGGCACTGAAAGCCTCCACACACAGTTGAAAAGCTGTTGATAACTTTTGACTCCCCCAAAACTTAACTACTACTGCCCTGCTGATAATCGGAAGCCTTACTGATAACATAGTCGATTAACATATTTTGTATTACGTATTGTATACTGCACTCTTACAATAAAGTAATCCAGAGAACAGAAAATGTTATTAAGAAAATCATAAGAGAAAATATATTTACTATTCATTAAGTGGAAGTGGATCATCATAAAGGTCTTCACCCTCATCATCTTCACATTGAATAGTCTGAGACAGAGAAGGAAGAGGAGGGCTTGGTCTTGCTGTATCAACTGTGGCTGAAGCAGAAGAAAATCTGATATAAGTGGACCCATGCAGTTCAAATTCCTGTTTTTCTTTTTTTAATTATTATTATATTTATTTATTTTTGTTTTTTTTATTATACTTTAAGTTATAGGGTACATGTGCACAACGTGTAGGTTTGATACCTAGGTATACATGTGCCATGTTGGTTTGCTGCCCTTATAAACTCATCATTTACATTAGGTATTTCTCCTAATGCTATCCCTCCCCCAGCCCCCTACCCACCGACAAGCCCTGGTGTGTGATGTTCCCTGCCCTGTGTCCAAGTGATGTCATTGTTTGATTCCCACCTATGCATGAGAACATGTGGTGTTTGGTTTTCTGTCCTTGTGATAGTTTGCTGAGAATAGTGGTTTCCAGCTTCATCCACATCCCTGGAAATAATATAAACTCATCTGTTTTATGGCTGCATAGTATTCTATGATGTACATGTGCCACATTTTCTTAATCCAGTATATCATTAATGGATATTTGGGTTGGTTCCAAGTCTTTGCTATTGTGAATAGCAAAAATTTGTCTTTATAGCAGCATGGTTTATAATCCTTCGGGTATATACCCAGTAATGG